GGACATACTAGAGTCTTAGAAACAGGAAACGCGCCTCCCCGGTGGTGCAGCGGTTGAGCGCTGGGTTGCAAAGCTGCCCGCAGCCTCTTCAGCTCCAGTTTGATCCCCGGCCACAGGGTGAGGGTCCCACATGGTGTGCAGACCTCTCCTGCCACCCACTGCTCCCCTCAGCAGTGTACTTCATCAGTCTGCCTGTTCTGCTCTCCGCTCTGACTCTAGTGAATGCTCTCTCGCCCTCCCGCGCTCTAACTGTACCCAGTGCTTGTATAAAGAAATAAATAAATCTTTAAAAAAAGAAAGAAAGAAAGAAACAGGAAACACTGGGATAGAGTAAAGTGAGAGCAGGCTAAATGTTGAAATTAATGGGAGATGACCTGGTTGTGGATATTGACTCAGAGGATTGAGGTAATGCCCAAGCAGAGTGCAAAGTTCTCATTTAAATCCCTAAGGTTAGTCTATAGCACATAAAATGAGGGAAATGGCATCTGGACTGGCCAGACGACTGAGTACTCAGTAGCCAAATAGGAGTCTAATAGCTTTGGGGAGATCTGACAATATACAGCAGCACTCCTGCCAACTGCTGTGTACTTCTGGGGCTAGCACCAAATAGGTGCTCATTAAAAATCTGGTGAAACCATGGATGGGGGAGGAAATGAAAATCGAGTCCACATTTTGGAGACTGAGAGGTACCAGGCAACTGTTTTCCCAGACTGCTACCCAGATAGAATCTGAAGAGATGCCTCTAGTAGTTTTTTTGTAGGTTTACCTGGGATTTTCTATATAAACAATTAATTTTTCTGCAAATAAGGGGCAGTTTTACTTCTTCCTTTCTGATCTTAATACCTTCTATTCGTTTTTCTTGCCTTACTTTTAATGGTTCAAATCTCCAGAACCTATAGAACCTATATTGTTCTGTTCAGCAATATAGAAGTGCAGATCTTATTGCTTGTTCCTGATTTTAGGGAGAATAATTCAATTTTTCACCATTATGTGTGATGTTAACTGTATGTTTTTTTGTGGATGCTATTAATTTCTGTAAATTTGTAATTGAATTTAGGGGCTTGGCCAGATTTGGGTATAATTAGCAGGGAGGGCAAAACTACAAAGGTATAATTTTATTAAAAGACATTAATGTCCAATTGCAATTTTTATGATGTTAACAGCCATTGATGATTGTTTCCTGTATCAATTATTAGATCATAGTTTATAAATAATTAATTATAATTCTGTTAGTTTATTCTTCGTTTATGAGTTTGGCTAATTCTGTGGAGGAAAACTTCCTTCATAAACTATTTGGTTATCCTGCTGTATCATTCCTATATGAAGAATAGAGAAATCCTTAATTTTCTTTCATCTATCAGTTTTCAGAATAGTGAATTCATTCCATAGCATCCTCCAAAGGTGAAAATGCCTTTCAAAATGTAAGTTATGAATTCACTATGTTTTTTAGCTCATTCAATTGTCATTTTCATTGATGCTAACCTAAGTAAGTGCATACTTTTCTGAGTTCCGTTAGAACTTGGTATTTATTACTTTCATCTGGGTTTGTCTTCATTCTTGGTAATCCGTGTTTTGTGTTAATATCTGATACCAGCAATGGACCCTTTCTTGTATGAGTAGGGACAAAAGGAGGATGTAATAAAATGCTTATTGCTAGAAGCATTCCATTCATAGATGAATGGAACTGTTTGCTTTTGAATTACACTTCAGATATATGGCACCTTTATTTAAGAAACCTTGGAATTTTGTTGGTGAAATCATAGAAGTGAAACTTCTCTTTGATTAGAACCTGCAGGAGAATAAGCTTTTAGTGTCAAGGCTTTTATGTTATAGGTGATATATGTCTGAATAGAAGTTATAATTTTAAGTTGGAAAATTCTGAATATTCCTGTATAACAACAGGAGAATTCTCGAATTCATTTTGTGTATTTTTGATGTGATGTTAACTTCTTGTGGTTTAGATATTTGACATGAGGTCTGTATGCATAACCTTTTGAATACTCATTTAGCTTATAATATGCCAATTTCCTAACAGTTATTGTTGTTCTAAAGTATAACATTTCACCGTCAAACATCAAGTAAGTACAAAAAAGAAATTAAAATTAATGGAGTTTCATGACTTTAGCACAGTGTCTACATTCTGTCAAAACGGTTCCTTTTCTATTAGATTTATTGTCATTTTTTCCTCATTATAAAAACAATGCAAAACTTTAGCTATTAGGATCACTGTAGTCCTGTCTATGAAATTAAATACTAAGTTACATATCTGTCTTCTTCTAAATGTAGATAATCAGATGTATTTAGATCTTGAAGGATGTTTACATTTAAACTTTACCAAAAACTACAGGAGAGGTTTTTCTGGCAAAATATCAGGTGAATTTTAAAAAAACTTTGATGCTCTTTGAATGGTTTGGATTTTTGGCAATGAATGTGTATTGTATGTGTTTGATATATGTGTGTATGCATTTGTGCATGTATGTATAGAGGAGGGGGGAGAACAGGGGAGAGAAGAGAGGGGAGGAGAGGTATGTATATGAAGAGAATTTCTGAATGAAAGGCACCAACATTGTCTCACAATAGATAATATGTTTAAGGGCAGATTTTTTTGCCTAACATCTGCCAACTATACATACTAGCAAAAATGAGAACTGTGTGTTTGTGTTGGTTTAATTTTCATGAATTTAAGATGTGCCTCATTTGATTTTCTTTGTCCACATTTCTTTTTGATTGCTAAAAGCCTCCTTACTCTATTTACCAGTGTACTGTATGTTTACAGATATACATTCCATATACAGATTATGACATGAAAAGACATGCTTTTCCCTGGTTTGGTTGGGTAATCTGAGTGAATCCTGGAGATACTCCTTCTTTTGCCATATTTATTTATTTATTTATTTATTTGGTTCTAGACTTGAGTCTCATTAGATGCTTAGACCATTTGATATCTTTTATCTGATATGTAAATTATTGCAAGACTTGATTTTCTTTTTTATTATTTTATATATTTTTTACATCATTTTTCAATTTTGCACAATGTATGCATTTTCATCTTGGTTATATTCCCCATACAATTCCCACCCGCCCCCCTTATTTTGACCCTAATCCCTCCTGCCCTGCCCTCCCACCCTCCACCCCCCTGTAGTGTGTCTCTGGTTTATAGTAGCTTGTTAATTTTGATTTTTACTTTATTAGAATTAGTCTTTTTCCTGGTCCCTTATTTAGGTTTTCTAAATTCCTGCTATGAGTGAGACCATCTGGTATTTTTCTTTTTCTTTCTGGCTTATTTCGCTGAGCATGATCCCTTCTAGCTCCATCCATGTTGTTGCAAATTGCATGAGTTTATCTTTTTTGGTTGCTGAGTAATATTCCATTGTGTACATGTACCACATCTTCTTGATCCAGTCATCTATTTTTAGGCATTTGGGTTGTTTCCATAGCTTAGCTATTGTAAATAGTGCTGCTATAAACATAGGAGTGCAGGTGCCCTTTTGAATTAATGTTTCTGTGTCCCTTGGGTAAATATGTAGGAGTGGAATTGCTGGATCATATGGAAGCTCCATCTTTAGCAGGTTGAGGAATTTCCACACAGCTTTCCATAGTAATTGGACCAGTTTGCTCTCCCACCAGCAGTGCGGGAGATTTCCTTTTTCTCCACATCCGTGTCTCTTTGTTTTGGTACTCTCTCTTAGAAGCTCTTTAATTTGATGTAGTCCCAGAGTTTATCTTTGCCTTCACTATCACTGCTTTGAGTGATGAGTCTTTAAAGATGTTACTGAGGTATATGTCATGTAGTGTTTTGCCTATATTTCCTTCTACATGTTTTATAGTTTCAGGTCTTATGTCTAGTTCTTTAATCCATTTTGAGTTGGTTTTTGTGCATGGTGTGAGGTTGATTTTCAAATAAACTAAGGGGACACCTCAAGCAGGAATAATAATTCTCCTATTCCTTCTTCTCTCCCTTGCCTCTTCCTCCTCCCTCCTCTCCCTTCCCTCTCCACTCTTAAGTTTAGTTAGGGTAGGACGCATTTTTAAAGGAAAAAAGTTTAAAATAAAAGATGCTTTTTAAAGACTGGCTATTTACTATTCTGGTTTGTGTAATAGGACACTGATGTATAAACAGTGAAACTGACTTTTTTATATAAAAATCATTTCAAGTGGCATTCAGCATTTTTTAAAAAAGGCTTACCCTTGCAAGTGCTTATCAAAGTATCTTTTTTATAGTTTGTATTTATTAATCAGACTCTTTATTCAGAAATCTTTTTTTCTCACTTAGCCTAGAAATTAAATTTCCTTCATCTCCACTTTTGTAGGCCATTTTTATGTTTAATGGGTAGAAACTAGTGGGATTCTAGGGAATGCCTCACAGCACCATCATGCCTACCCACTCTTAGTGTGTCTGAATGTGGCAGATTCACCACAGAGAATTAAAATGCACTTTATTTAGAACCTGTGAAAGCTATGTAAATTATAAGAATATGGAGAGATGCTGTTTTATTAAGTCCACTTTACAGCTGTTGATGTGAGGTAGACTTTCAGTGAAAAGTAGATTGGGGGAGATTCAGGTTGCCCCAGCTGCCTGCATTTCTCCCATAGTCCAGGTGAATGGGGTGTCAAGGGAAAGAGGTAGACTAAAGTCAATTGAATATAAACAAATAAATTATTTAAAATTTTTTTATAATTATCTTTTGATGGAAATGAGACAGAGTCTAGGAGATTCCCAGGAAGACAATCTAAATTCCTGTATTATGTATATCATTGTTATGAAAAATGATTTTTATTTCTTTCTTTTTGAGATTAGACAATTATTTGTTTTTTCACTTGCTGCCAAATCTCATTACTAAAATTACTAGTGTTCATAGATATCATTTCATCCATCACTAAATATTTTTCAAAACAGCTACTGCTTAAGTGGTGCATAAGTGAATTTTAATACTAATAAGACAAGAAAGATGTTTAGTAATTCTTTTCTTCAATCATTCTTGGTTTCCTTGGATTTCTAGGATGTGGGGAGCATCTTGTGCGTACCATACTGGCTAGAGAATGTTCACATGCTTTACAAGCTGAAGATGCTCACCAAGCCCTCTTGGAGACTATGCAAAACAAGTTTATCAGTAAGTATAATGTAAAATTACAGCCTTCTACATATACATCAGTAAAATTACAGCCTTCTACATATACATCAGCCTTCTACAGCTCACATCAGTGAGCTAGCTAGCTGTAAGCTCCATGAGTCAAGTACCACGCTGTATTGCTAGATCTTCCTCTGGGACTAAGCCTAGACTTAGACCCTCAATGAATATAAACTGTGAGACGAAATTACATCTGTATTACTACTATGGAATGAAATTTGTCAAATAATCTATCTGATGTTTACACTGTGAGATATTACCTAAGATTAGAGTAATATATAGCAGATAAAATTCTAAGAGAAATTTTAAGAATAATCTCTTTTAAAACTTTTGTAAGGCTATTTGATTCTTTTTATTTATTTATTTATTTTTTAGATTAGGAGATTTACTTTATTTTTTTTAATAAATTTTATTTTTATATTCCCCATACAATTGCAACCCCCCCATTCTGATCCCAATCCCTCCCCTCCCGTCCCCCACCCCCCCAAAAGTGTCTCTGTTTCATAGTTTTTTGTTGATTCTGATTTTCACTTTCTTATAGTTATTCATTTTCCTGGTCCCTTATTTAAGTTTTCTAGATTCCTGCTATGAGTGAGACCATCCGGTATTTTTCTTTTTCTTTTTGACTTTTTTCGAAAATAGTCAGTATTATATTTATAAATTCAATATTGACATATATAGCTATATAGAGTTGGGTTGAAAACTTGCCTGGGCTCTACTTACCAAACCGTAAAACCAGATATGAGACTGCATCTTTTTGGAGGAAAGATTTCTTTTTCTAATCTGTAGATTTTATGTAGTTTAGCCTAGCTGTGGTACTATACAATGAGACTTTGGCATGAACTATTTGACTTTAGTTTACTTACCCCATCATTTTACATTGAACTTAACACTATGCAAAGACTTAAAAAAGTTGTATTAGAAATATACAGCATAGATAAAAGTTACAGTAATAATCGTGAATACATTAATTAGAAAAAATATCACAGAATTAACCTGGGGGTTATCACTCAAGGAATAAAGATGGACTATAATAAGGTACTAATTATGTGATGAGGACAACCCAGACAAAAGTATAGGGAAAAAAAATTTACCCTAAAAGGACTCATGGATCCTCATAGAACTGGCCCCAAGAAGGATCTGGTGCAAGGGAAAAGAGAGGAGCATTAATAGAGATGAAACTTGGCTTAGGCGTGATGAGGACTAGATTCTTGCGTAACTTACAATCAGCCTGAGGTTTTACTATTCTTTGTTTTAACAGTTATCATTGTTGAATACTATTTTTAATGGAAACCAAATTCTTGGCCTTAGCAACATGCATAAATTTTATAATTTGCTGTAATTAGATGTCTGACTATACTATCTGCATTCTCAGAACATAAGTAGAAAGGAAGAGTAGGAGGTGAAAACTAGATGCTCAGGAGTAGTTAACCTCCCGGGAGCACTGTGGTGGGTGTGTAGTTGCGACACATGGTAATTTTCTGATTGTTGACAATGACCTGCACACTTTGCTGAATCAAAAACCACAGACTCACTAGATAGACCTACCTCTCCCAGATTTGGAACCTGACTAAGGAGTTCCTAAACTCCACTCTTTTCTCTCCTGTTGCTTTGTTGTACTCTCTTTTTGTATAGCACCTTAAAACTACTTGGAGAGTTGGATTGTAGTGTTTCATTTTGCCACTGGATCTCATGACCTAATTCATATTGGACTTTGTCTTAAAAATTCCAGATTTGTGGAGAAGAGTAAGAAACCTTGGAACTCACATAATCATTCCTGCTCATTTAAACAGTTGAAAAGTTCAGTGACTTGCCCAGACCTAGTTAGTCAGTCTGTATTCGTTCTGCAATATCACATTGCCTTTTTTTGTTTTTAAAGTAAAATAAACTCTAGAGATTATGGTTGCCTACAGAGGTGAGGAGTAGTGGGGAATGGGAGTTATTGTTTAAGGAATATAGAGTTATAGTTATAGGGAAGATGAAAAAAATCTGGAGATGAATAATAGTTGTACAATAATGTGAATGTGTTTAACCTTAGTGAATTATACTTTTCAAATGTTTAAAATATCAGTATTATACTATTTTGCTAATAATATACTATGCTAGTGATAAGGATTTTTAATCTTGACATGATGTCATTTTTATTTTTCAGGAGTCTTAATTATTTTTAGCAATTTGCTTATTATCAATTACAGATTTTGATTAGGATAGTCAGATGGTTAATATGGTAAATTTTTATGTTAAGTGTACTCTAACACACAAAAAAAATTTTAAGTCAAATGAAAGTGATATATGGAAAAATAGTGCCTGGTAGTTAGGACAGTGGGGTTCAGCTCTCTCTGACTTACTGAATGTAGGGAGTTAATTAAGCTATTTTCTCAAAAAACACAAACAAAAAATAAAACCATTAGACATGGGTTTTAAGTTTTTAATTATTTGTATGCTAAATATGTGAATTCTCTGTGTGATTCAACCTGTAAACATGAAGTTCTTTTTTTTTAGTATCAGGAATTCATTTTATTTATTTATTTTTATTTTTATTTTTTTCATGATACACAACTGTCCAAATTTTATTTTTTATATAATTTTTTTAATTTTTATATTCCCCATACAATTGCGACCCCCTTATTTTGACCCCAATCCCTCCCCTCCCTACACCCCACCCTCCATAGAGTGTCTCTGGTTCATAGTTGTTTGTTGATTTTGATTTTTACTTTCTTACAGTTATTCTTTTTCCTGGTCTCTTATTTAAGTTTTCTAGATTCCTGCTATGAGTGAGACCATCTGGTATTTTTCTTTTTCTTTCTGGCTTATTTCGCTGAGCATGATTCCTTCCAGCGTCAGCCATGTTCTGCAAATTGCATGTGTTTATCTTTTTTGAATGCCGAGTAATATTCCATGGTGTATATGTACCACATCTAACATGAAGTTCTTTTTAAGGTAATTTGGAAATGGAAATGGAAAATGAAAATTTTCTTGGAACGACTTGGGAGTTTTCGGGCACCTTGGATAATATTTACGAAGTATTTACAGTGAATTAAATTGAATTCACCTGAAGCTTAGATTAGGCGCTAAAAGGTTGGACAGTTTCCTCTTTCAAGTGATGAAAGTAGTTACTTTATTTTGTTTTAAAGATTTATTTATTTATGCATACAAGGGCTGGGGCACAGGCCAGAGATGTGGGGGATGAGAGGATTCACCAGAGACAGAGTAGGGAACAGAACAGGCAGACTGACTGAAATACATTGCTGAAGGGAGCAGCGGGCAAGTCAGGAGAGGTCTGCTGCACCATGTGGGTTGCTCCCTGGCTGGCCAGGGATCGAACTTGTGCTGCAGAGGCTGCGTATTGCTTCATAGTTCAGTGTTTAACCCCTTGTGCCACCAGGGATTACCCAAAAGTAGTTATTTTAGAACAGATTTCTTTGTACTCAGTTTTCTCATGTATAAAGTGAGGGAGCAGATCTGGATTGTGTCTAAGTTTGTTCTAGTTCCAAAATGTATTTGATCTTTGGTTTAGTTATAGGCCAATCTAAACTATTTGTGTGAAAAGTATAGGTATAAATCAAATTAGTCCTTAATTAAACTATAAATTGAAACTGTTAAGGGTTGATCTCAATTTCCAATTAATTTGGTTAAAATCCTTTCTGGCAATGGCTGATGAATGCTAGCAAACACTTTTTCTTAAAAAAAGATTTATTTATTCATGCATACAAGAACTGGGGCACAGGCCAGCGGTCGGGGGTGGGGTGTGAGAGGATTCACCAGAGGCAGAGTGGGGAACAGAACAGGAAGACTGACTGAAATACGCTGCTGAGGGGAGCAGCAGGCAAGACAGGAGAGGTCGGCTGTGCCATGTGGGCTGCTTCCTGGCCAGCCAGGGGATCTAACTTATGCTGTGATATCTTCATAGGTTGCGTTTTAACCCCTTGCGCCACCAGGGAGGTCCGCTAGCAAACACTTTGTTTTGTAGAAAGACATCATGATATTCCTACTCCCTTACTTGCTTCCATTGTTTTTACTTTTATTTATTTATTTATTAAAAAGTTTTTTTTTTTTTATTTATACAAGAACTGGGGTACAGGCCAGAGTGCAGGAGGATGAGAGGATTCACCAGAGACAGAGTGGGGAGCAGAACAGGCAGACAGACTGAAATACACTGCTGAGGGGAACAGCAGGTGAGACAGGAGAGGTCTGCTGCGCCATGTGGGTATCTCCCTGATCGACTGGGAATCGAACCCATGCTGCAGGGGCTGTGGACAGATTCATCGTGCTGGGCTCAACTGCCTGTGCCACCGGGGAGGCCCATGTTTTTACTTTTAAAAAAGATTTGCAAACTATTAGTTTATTTTTGTGTATGGTGGTGACACATATTCCAGTTTTATGCTCTTATATGTGTCTTTCCAGTTTTCCTAGCACCATTTATTAAAGAGACTGTCTTTTTCCATTTCATGGTTATAGATGTTTTATCATAGATTAAGTCTGGCATACACATGGATTTATTTCTGGATTTTGTCTCTTTCCCATTGGTCCATGTATGTATATGCATTCTCTAAGTCTGAAGTCAAGTAATATGATACTTGCATTTCTCTCCTTTTTCTTTGGGCTGCTTTTGCAATTTGAAGCCAAATAAATTTGCAATTTGGTTCCACATAAATTTCAACATTTTTGTCCAGTTTATTTAAAACTTACTGCTAGGATTTGATGAAGATTGCATTAATTGTATGGATCATTTTAGGCAATATAGTCATTTTGATTATATTGATTCTGCCAATCCATGAACATGGGTTATCCTTTATCTCATTATGTCACTATCTAAGTCCTTTTATTACATTTGTAGTTTCTTTGTATAGGTCTTTTACCTCCTTTGTTTGGTTGATTCTGAGGTATTTACTTCTTTTCTCTGAAGCAACTATAAATGGAGTTATTGTCTTAATTTATTCTGTTTGTTGTATATTAGAAAAGCTACTGATTTTTGTTTGTGA